CTGCTACATCTCTCCTTCCAGATCACCCATAGGGCTGTCTCTTATACACATCTAGATGTGTATAAGAGCTCTCTCTCTCTCTCTCTCTCTCTCTCTCTCACGTATGGATTTTGAACATCATCACCTCCGCCACCCATCTCCTCCCTCCGTGTTCTTGATCTCAATCTCTCTTTTTCCTCTCTCGTTTTGTTGTCTTCTTTTGTGAATGCCTTTGTATGCAGCACAGCATGCCGGACAACATTTATTTGCCAAGTCCTATGGCTCAACTACACGCCAGCTTGTGGTGGATGTTCCCGATGGTGATACTATCAAGAAATCCAAGAGATTTTTGTACTTCCGTGATGCTAGACCGATCGGAGATATCTTGACTGAGAAGCATCGTATACCTGGTTACCAGGTATAGTTTCCAGCGTTTTTCGTCTATGGCCATTTTCATGAAATCTGCATAAAATATGGGGTTATTTAACTGATTTTTTTCTTAAACCACGACTACCTTTCGCAGCTGTAGTCCCATTTGCGAAAAATGACCTCATCTGAAAAAAATGGTCGCCGCGAGGCCACTGATATTTTCATCGGCTGCTACCAGCCTCTGAAACAATTGGGACCCACCCCGCGGCTGACATACAAGAAAGCTAGTGGGCCAGTGGCGGTGGCGGTTTAAGGCTTGGACAAGGTATGCAGGGGGGTTAGGATGGAAAAAGTACGAGTCTCGTCTCTGTCTGCCCTCAGGTTCTTCTTCTTTTTCTTATTGTGAAAGAAGCGGCAAATGATAGGGCAATTCCTGATGCTTTTTTTTTTTTTTTTTTTTTTTTTTTCCAAACAGGGCCTTATGGTCCTGGCTCCTTCTATTCTGGGGAGCGTCAGTCCGGTTCTTATTCCACCGGCAAGTCAAAATCCTGATGCTTTTTCTTTCTTTTGTGCTTTTTTTGCGGGTGAAGCCGCAATGTGTCATCTAGTGTAACTGATTTTTGAATTTTTCTAAGGGCTTGAAGAAGGTATGCAGGGGGGGGGTAGGAGGGGAAAGTACAGGTCTATTAACTAGTATTAAGTGGCGTGGAAATGGTATGAGCAATGTGTAAGCTTTTCTGAAAAGCTGTGTGTTCTCGTCAAGAACCTCCGGGGAAATTTGAATTGCTGCAGCCCCTGCTGAATTGCTTTTTGCTGTCCGACCTATGGTAGTGTGGCCCCTGTGCTAGGATGACACGCATAAATCGAGAAACGGTCCAAAAAAAAAAAAAAAAAAAAAGTTAAAAACAAAAAAAAATAATGTGTTGTGAATGGGTCACAAAGGTGCATCCAGCAAGGGCCTCAAACGGCAAACAAATGAAAAGGAGATTTAACAAAAGGTGTCCCCCTTTTCCCCCTCTCCCCCCCCAACAAAGAAAAAGGCATCTCACAGCTCTCAGGGGTATCCTGCAGCTTCCCCCCCCCAAAAAAAAAGGAGTCTCACAGCTCTGAGGGAAATCCTTCAGGGAGCGCAGGCAAAGCACACAACAGAAGGTGAAACAAGCATACACACAGCAAACCCATAACAAATATGGATGTAATTAATAATTATCCATTTTAATCTTATCTTTTATGGTTGCTGGGTCTATGGTCCCTGAGGATCATACTTGTTCTTTTTTTTCCTCTTTTTTTTTCGAGCGGGTTCTTACATTTCAAAAAAAAAAAAAAGAAAACAGAATTTATGTACCTGTCAGCTGTAGCCAACTTACCAATCAACCAATTGCAAACACCACAAACAGTAGTGATGCTTTCTGCAGCAGAATGAAAAGAACACCATTCGACAAGATTATTGCCTAGGAATCTAGGATGGCGCTCGTGTTGTATTTCTTCCATGTCCCATGTGGATGATTTTAACAGAATCTAATTTCAACTTTCAAGTGATTCCTTTTTTTTCTTTAAAAAAAAAAAAAAAAAAACAGGTCCTTATGGCGTTCTGGGGAGCATCAGTCCGATTCCTATTCCACCGGCAAGTCAGGAAAAATAATTACATCATAGGACACCCTCACGCTTCCTTCCGTCTGGCCGAAGGAACCCTGATCAGCATTGATTGCCCCAACCTCCTGGAGGATTGACTGTCAGCTTGCCATGCTTCCACCTTTCCTCTCAGGATTACTGTAAGAAGTTAAGAACCTGTCAAATAAAACATGAAAAGCAATCCTACTTGTTCTAATCAATGATTCCAACCCAGTTGGATCTCGGTGGTTTCACCTATAGCCTACAGGCTTTATAAAGTCCAAAAAGCATCCTGAGGTTCTGAATATGAGCGTCTGAGCGTCGTAATCTCGCTACTAAAAGCCTATAAAGGGGCATAGCCACTGAGAAGAATTACAAAGAAAAAAATAGGCAAAGGGGTCACTAGTGGAGGTGGCGCTTATCCCCTTTCCTAGTGAATGCCGTCAGGCCTTTTTCTTTCTTTTTGTTTCCAAAATATTAAATCAATCTCTAGGAATTCCAAAATAGAAAGCCTCATCGATAACCAGGGTAATCCCTTGTCAGAAACCACAAAACTGGTCAATATAGCATCCACCTTCTATAAGGACCTCTACACCAGCGAACCTCCCCTAGATAGAACCAATGAAACAGTCAGAGCCAGATCTAAATTTCTCTCCCACCTAGGGCGCTCACTCTCACCAGAATCGTGCAGGCCAGAATGTTAAAATTGGAACGATGCAGTCTGGCCTTACGTAATTAAAAAAAAGGAAAAAGGAAAGGCAAAGCTTACAGCATGGAAGTGAACGAATAGAACTCGATAAAAGGGATGGACGAAGGACATATTAGGACATACAGTATTCAAGCTACAAGCTTAAGATTCATTTAGGCTTAGTAGATGTGACTGATATAAAAATCGTGAAAGACATCCTCACACTAGTATTTTCAAGGATGTTCAGGGGCCCATTTGTGGCCAGGTTCAGTAAAAAAAACTTGCAGCTAAAGGATGGGCACAGCTTACAAAGGAGCGGGTACTTGAAGCAACATAAAGGTGTGCAAGGAGGACATAGGGCATCCAGTTCTCAAACTACATGCTTAAACCACCAGTACCTACCAGGTTCTTAGGCCCCCTGTGACGCGAATGAATACAGACCTGCGCAGTAGGCCGATTCATCCACCGCATTAACGCCTAAAAACACAGTAAGTACTGGTGGTTTAAACCGCAAGTGCACGGCCCCAGCCTTGCAGAAAGTTTTGTCACCACAAGCGAAACTCGGAGGGGCCGCGCGGTGTGGGGCGCCGTTGAAAAAAAAAATCGGCGGCCTCCGACGTGGTGCGGGTTTCGTGCTGACATCCGCGGGCTGATGTGTGGTGTACTGGTGCTTTAAGATTCCTTGAATCTCAGTAGCTCATAAAGAAATCACTAAGGACATTACATGCGCGTGCAAGAATTGTGTGAGGACAAAAGTATCCAGTACTTCCGTAAGGACTTGGGTGCCTGGGAGCTAGCACGATTGGATCTGCAGGAGTATGCAGACCAGCTCAGCGAAGAGAGATCGGCAACAAGTGGAGGGGTAGCAAGGCGTCTTGACATTCGTCATGAAGGCTCTGGCGACAGATCTAAGGACATTACATGCGCGTGCAAGAATTGTGTGAGGAGAAAAGTATCCAGTACTTCCGTAAGGACTTGGGTGTCTGGGAGCGAGCACGATTGGATCTGCAGGGGTATGCAGACCAGCTCAGGGAAGAGAGATCGGCAATGAGTGGAGGGGTAGCAAGGCGTCTTGACGTTCGTAATGAAGGCTCCGGCGACAGATCGTCCGAGAACAATTTTGATCAAGTAAGGGGAAACTAAGTCTTGGCTGCCTGCGATCGATGCTTAGAGCTGCCGATCGGCTACCGTCTTCACCCGAATAGAACGCCCAGTCATTATAGCTGTATATGGGGCAACTTTCAGTCCAGAAACAGCGATAATGACCGGGCGTACTATTCGGGTGAAGACGGCAGTCGTGTTGAAGCAAGTTGTCGGCACACAGTTAGGTGTGTTGCTGGAACATCATGCGCATGTGCTGATCAATGATCATTCTTCTCGCGTGCATAGGGGGCGACATAGCATGGGGTAAAGCATACGTCGGATGGTGGCTGTGAACGTCACAACGGGCAGGCTTTTGTCTGCGGATAAGCGCGTGTATGTCTTGATATTGCTATCTCACAAGTCTGTGTACGTGAGGAAAACGACGAGGTCTCTTAGAGAAAGGTGGGATGAGCATTGCAGATCCACCAGCGGGAAGAGTAAGGAACTGGTGCACGCCTGGCTCAGAAAGCCGGGGATTGATTTTTAATATTTTATGTTCGCATTCCTATTTGGTTTGATGAGGACTCCGCAATTGAATGCATGGAGCAGGCTATTATTAAAGGATGTAATCCGGGTCTCAACACCCGTGGGTGTAGTAAGGGTAGGAAGAAACGCAGACCTCGCGGAACAAGAAGGAATGCCAAATGTGCTTCTCTCTCACCTTTGATGTTGTTAGATCCTTTGCTGTTCGATTGCAATGCTGTTGCGAGGAATGAACCTGATCTTTTGCGCATTCTGAAGCTCCTTGCAAAATCAAAGAAGATGTCGTCGATTGTGATCGGCAATAACACCGGCGGTAGATGGCCGAAGGCATGGCGATTGGTTGTTCTGATTTTTGGCGTTACAAAGATTAAAATTTAAAATCAATCAAGAAAGTTTATTACTGAAAGATATGAAGTGTGCTATCAAAAACGGGGGCGAGTGGGTTATTAAGTTATTAACTTATTACCGAGTTGTTTCGCACTCGGACCAAGAATGAGTTAAAAAATGCTGAAGTCATCTCCCTGCTCAGAGCACCTTGGAAAGGAAAGAACTGTGCAAACGCAATCTTAAGGACTTGATTGAATTGAATAAAGCAGTGAAGACCATCAACCAGGACCGTGGTAGACAGATTGTACGTGGGCTGCTGGTAAATGTCTTGAAAAAGAAGTTCGGGATTAATCCCCGCACCAATGAGACTGTCAAATTTCCGTTTTGGACAGCACCAATGAAAGCAAAAGTAGAAGAATCTGCGAAGAACTGGATTACGGGCGATGTGTGCCCGACGGCGCTCGCTGACGCTGACTTGTATGTGAGTAGGACCAGGGCTGTGTGGCTTCAAAGTTAAAAGCCAAATCGGTCGGGGACTTACTGCGTAGCCAAAAGGCCTACGCTCAAGGTAGCTGTTTTGATTGCACTTGTGTGGGCCTTGAACTGCCCAGAAGGGATGGGCATGTTGCAGTCAAATTGACTGAAGTCGGTGGAATCAATTCTTTTTTGTTTAACAACTTTAACTAAAAAAAATTGCCCTTTCCGGGCTCCATGGTTGCAAGGGATGGTCTGAATCTGGCCGGCAATCAGGCCTGATTCAGACCATCCCTTGCGACCATGGATGTGCTGAGAAGAATGGGCGTGGCGTATGGCACAATGACCATTGCTGTTAGTAAACGGGGTGAGGCCGGTTG